TCCGATGCTTAAGTCAGCAATAATCGGGGCTACCTTTAGGGTGGAGATAAAAAGAGCTTAAGGTTGGTTTCAATTACCTTTCTGAGGTGGCCCCTGGGGGTATTTATAGGCCTTTGTGAGGTATCCACTTAGCTTGCTTAGCAGGATAATCGGAGTGTGACGTGTTCCTTAAGGAGATAAATTCGGGACCAGGAAATTAAGAGAAATTTTGGTGTGGGCATGCTCACCGTAACTGTCATGCAGCTGTTTGACTAGGAAGTGCTTCACTTCGATTATTAAGGGATTATAGCAGTACGTCCGAGGTCCTTAACCTCGGACCTATCCTTACACTATTCCCCCCTCGAAGTCATTCACTTGTGAATGATTAGTGTGGAAGATGAGTGTAGACGGGGATAGTCAATATAAAAATGTATGACATGAAGTCGTGTTTTTGGCTGCAGTCAAGGTAAAAATGCATGACATAAAGTCATGTGTTTTGGGTCGTAGCCAAGGAAAAAATGCATGACACGGAGTCATGTGTTATAGTCGTAGCTGAAGTAAAATTGCATGACATGGAGTCATGTGTTATGGCCGTAGCCGAAGTAAAATTGATGACTCAATCACTGTGGCCAGAGCCGAAGTAATATAGGTGACGTGTGGTCACTATGGTTAGAGCCGAAGTAAAATAGGTGATGCATAGTCACTATGGCAAGAGCCGAAGTAAAATAGGTGACTTGGGGTCACTATGGCTAGAGCCGAGTTAAATAATGATGACCGAAGTCATAGCGGCTGGAGCCGAAATAATAAGTAATGACCGGAGTCATGTGGCCGAAGCTGAGGTAATAAGTAATGACGGAGTCATGTGGTCGAAGCCAAGGTAATAAGCAATGACCGGAGTCATAAGGGCCGAAGCCGAAATAAAAGTAATGATTGAAGTCATGTGGTTGGAGCTAAAATAAAATGTGTGACTCAGGGTCACTGTGGCCGTAGCTGAAGTAAAGATGCATGACCCATAATCATGTGTTATGGTTGTAGCTGAGAATGATGACTTGAAAATGACGACTCGAAAGTGACGATTTGCAATCTCATGAGCCATAATAATGGAAGTCAGGCTTTTGAGAGTCATGCTTTATAGAGCTAGGATCAAAACCAGTTTTTGTAGAGTTGATTGAATGCCAATTTTGGTAGCTGGAGATGCTCACCACAGAATCCCACCTTGAGATGCCCATAAGAAAATCTTGGTCTCTCGAGTCATAGCATAAAATCAAACCCCTTTAAGGGTTGTGCTTTTGCAGAGTTAAGATTGAACTGAGCTTTCATAGAACAAATGAGCTGAGAAGCTGATAGTTGATGGATGCAAGCTCTTGTAGATCGTATGAGCTAAAAAAGCCAATAGCTAATGGGCTCAAAGGCCAATAGTATTTTCTGATGAACTGATA